TCATAAAAAGAGGAAAATTCTGCAATTTTCATCCACATGGGTGAGTCTTGTGGCCATTATGCTAAGTGAAAGAAGTCATACCAAGAAAGACACATACTGTGTGATCTCACTTACATGTGGAATCTAAAAATACCCAAACTCATAGAAATAGAAAACAGTTTCGCACTTGCCAGATGTGGGGGAAATGGGTGAATGTGGTCAAAAGGGATAAACTTCCAGCTATGATGAATAAGGTCTGACGATCAGTATAAGCACTATGACTGTAACTAACTATACTGTACATATACTGGATTTTTCTTTTAAGATTTATTTATGCACATAAGAACTGGGGTACAGGCCAGAGTTGTGGGAGGTGAGAGGATTCATCAGAGACAGAGCGGGGAGTAGAGCAGGCAGATACACTGAAGTACACTGCTGAGGGGAACAGTGGGTGATACAGGAGAGGTATGTGGGTAGCTCCCTGGCCAGGGATTAAACTCGCACTGCAGTGGCTGCCGATAGCTTCATAGGTTGCATCTTAACCCCTTGCACCACCAGGGAGGCCCTGTACATATACTTCAAAGTTGTTAATAGACTAGAAAGGAAACACTATGACCACATAGACATAAAAAGGTAAATATGTGAGGGATGGACTTGTTCGCTCACCTCATTGTGGTATTTGTTCAATAGTATATATATACATATGAAATGATATCATATACCTTAAACTTACATGTAATAATATCTCAACAAAGCTAAGGAAAAAGAACGGGTGTTGTTCATCTCCTCAGGAAGCCTGCAGAGGAAGCCGTGTCCTTGGGAGAGAGGGGTTTCCACTGGGGAAGACATTGTTTACGGATTTGCTTTACAGGAGACAATACACATGAAGTGTTCAGCACATTGAGGCCAGGGATTTGGTACGAAACCCTAAGGAGTGTGTCGATGTGTTAGTTTCCCATTGCTGAAGATAGTTTAGTTCAGTTAAATTCCATTTCCTCAGGGACAAGTGGGGGTTCCTGGCTTCAGAGGCCTGGACTAGCTGCTGCCTTAACCAGCAGACCTGGCAGGTAGGGTCAGCAGCTCAGTTGGCCTGAGATGTTGGGATCAGTATTGGCTTGATGGTACGTAGTCAAAAATGTTGGCATTAATTCCTAGTGAAGCAACTTCCCCCAAGAGATTTTATCTGTTTTTCTCTGTGGTTAGGTGTTAGAAAATTCTTCATTTCTCACAAAAGTGTTTTATTCTGATCACTGAAATGTTCGTTTGCATGACATGAAGATTAATTTGAGCTCAAGTGATTTAGAACTGAGCAGACAGTATCAGTCTACAGAGGAAAGAAAGAAGATGGGAACTAGTATTTAAGTACCTACTTATGCCAAACATTACACAAAATATTTTCTTTTTTTTTCTTTTTAAAGGTTTATTCACCCAAGTATATAAGACCTGGGGTACAGGCCAGAGGTATGTGGGGGGTGGTGAGAGGATTCACCAGAGACCGAGTGGAGAACAGAACAGGCAGACTGATGAAATACTGCTGAGGGGAGCAGCGGGTGAGCCAGGAGAGGTCTGCTGCACCATGTGGGTATCTCCCTGGTGGGGGATCGTACTTGTGCCTCAGTGGCTGTGGACTGCCCCATAGATTGTGTCTTAACCCCTTGTGCCACCAGGGAGGCCCTAAATATTTTCTTACTGGAATTTATTAATTCAATTTGTGCATTCATTAACTCAAAAAATTGTGTGTGTGTGTGTGTAGAATACTTGCTAAATACTAGGGATTCAATAATAAATTTAGGGACTCTGCCTTAGAGGAGCTCATATCTCACTGAGAAAAACAGCTATGCAAACATAAATTATAATACAGTGTGATATGTTAATGATTAATAATTATTGAATAGTTATTATGTGCAGATGCTATGTGATTTATGTCAGCTCATTAAATCTTCTCAGCAATCCTCTCAGCCACTACATGAATAATCTTATAATAATGCTGTGTTCCAAGGTGGCTCATGACAACAAATAATTGTTTTTTTGCATATTTTCATTTCTGTTTCAGGCAGTGGACCTGCTGGGCTTGGCTTCAGGCCTTAGACTGGTTTCAGGTTTGCTCATGTGTCCTTATTTTACATATCACAGGAGCTCCTCTGTGATATGTTTTCATGATAGATCACAGGACTGGAGGCTGACAAAGCTCTGTAAATGTAAAACCTTTACTCTGCCAAATCGTTTATTATTCCATGGGCCATGGTATGATGCAGGTCCAAACCCAGCATCAGTGGAATGCAGAATAGTCTGGAAGTAGCAAAATGCCTCCTTTAGTGGGAAGTACTGCGAAGTCACATGGAGGAGGGTGAGGATACAGGGAGACAGTGAACGCTTGAGAATCTTGATTCAATCAGCAACAGGAAGTTAGTATTTTGTCATCCTCAACTTAGAAAAAATATAATTTAATTTTTAAACTAAAAAATAATTTAAAAATTAAAAAAAACTAAAATTTAAAAAAATTAAAAAAAAATACAAAGTGTCTGTCAGAGGAGTGCAGATTTTATTCTACTGATCAAGGGGAGGAGGAGGTAGGTTATGGCGAGTGTAAGAGGAGACTTGTCAGCTGGTTGTCGTCACAGTTTCGTAGGATCCAAACTAGAGCAGCGGTCATGGAATAGAAAAGAAGCGAGGAAAGGACAACTTGGAGGTCAAATTAGTATTACTTGATAATCAATTAAAGGTGATCAGTGGGGACAGTGAGAGATTCAAGATGACTCTGGGGTAATTTTGAGGAGCTTGGGGGTCTTAATAGCACTTTGGGCTCTGTGTTTGTTTTAGTAATGCATTTCAAACAAATTGGCTATTTAGAAGTCAAGGATGATTGTCTTGTCTAGGGCTGGAGAATGAAAACGGTGCTTATTTGGTTGCTACAGTTAAGGGTGCCATAGTATCCCCCTTCTCATTCTCTCCCTCAGCTGGAGAGGCTGGTGGGGGGTTGCGGGGGCTGGATGTGGCTCAGTATAGCTCTGAGTACATTTTTACCTTTGTTTTCTACTCTTGAGTGTTTAAAGGCTGGTGCTGCCTCCAGAAAGAAAAGAACATGTGTCAACCCACATTGGTTCCACACATTTTTGACTGAAGAAAAGATAGGAGAGGAAGGTGAATCTTCAAACTAATGGATCATGTAAATCTTCTTCACAGAACATTTCAAAATCATATACACAACTTAAACATAGTCTTGAGGAAACCAAGACTCTCAAAAAATATCACTAAGAGTAAGCAGACTAACATTTGTGGATAATTCACAAAACGGGATGTTCCATGCAAATAGCTCTTAGCTTATTTCTTAAAGGGTCAGGTGCATCTTCAGATATTTTAAACCCTACTGAAATAATATATTGTGTGATAAAAACACATGTGAGAGAAACAAAGTCCTGACCTCAACTGTCTCTTAGCTCTTAGTTCTATTCCAGCTCCTAGGTGCTTTCTTTCTTTTGCTTTATTGTCCCACAAGGTATAGTTTATTTTCTTCTTGGATTCACCTGTGTGCCACTCCCACTTTTATGAATACTACTGAATGAGGTTCTCTTCACATTTCACCCCAATGGAACACATGTCTATTTCAACAGGCCCTCAGTATGGGCACCACCACAACCTGCATCAGTTTCATTGTTTATAGGGGGACTTCTCAGTGAGACTGCAGGCAAGCAGCACTAGGGTCACCTGGAAACACAATAGCAGTGCATGTTTTCAGGCTCCACCCACACCTCAGGAATCAGAAACTCTGGAGATGGCGCTCATTTGGTGTATTTTTAACAAGCTCTCTCAAAGACTATGTGGCATGCTAAAATTTGAAAAACCCTGGTTTAAGGAAGCTTCACAGACATAACCTGAACTCACAGGTTTTGGGGATGGTCTGCTGATGTGCTACTAATCAGGAGAGAAATCAAGATAAGTAGGTTTTGAGACCTGGAGCAAAATCATGTTTCCTTCTCTGTATTTTATTTTCTTTACCTTTGGGATGGTTGGGGCAGTTGAACTGGTCAGCAGTCCCATTCAAGGGTCACAAAGTATATCAGAGATTTGTCAACATTTTTTAATATTTTAGGAAGTTTCAGCGAAATCATGTGTTTCCCCTCATTGTGCTGCTAAGACTGACCCAAATATCCTGTTTGTTAGTTCCGGATTAAAATAAGCCACCAGACTGTGTGCTTCTCATGGCTTTTCATTTTCACATATCCAGGGTTCAATCAAGAGTCTGGCCCAATGGAAACCCTTCATACAATGTTTCCTGAGCTAGTTCATATAAAAGTCAGTGTGCAAATTGGCTTATTTTTGTACTAACAAGAAGCTCTGATTAACTTTCTAAAGGAATAACATGGAGCTTGCGTGTGTATCAATTGTTGCAGTGTTAGATTCCCATAATTAAGGGATATTCAAGCTAGAGACCAGGTGGCATCAACCCTTAGCTTGGCTCGTTAGTTCTCCTATGGACTATGGCCCAGTTTACTTATTCATAAATCTGTGTGGTTTCAATTATTTATGGTTTTCTGCTAAAATTGGACATGGTTCCTTTGGTCCTGCAGGAGCCATCTGGGTCACTGACAGGACCCTGCTGTGTCCATGTGTGCAGTGCGAGAGTCGGCAGTACGGCAGGGAAATCATGTCTTAGCAGGCTAGGGAAGGTGTCCTGTGGCCACACGGGAGAATGCGAGGTGGTACCAGGAATCTTCCAAGTGCTTTGAAAGGTTGTGTCTTCCTCAGAGTTGTTGGTCTGAACCTATGGTACCCTCTTCGGTTGTGAATGTTTTTAAGGGGAACAGATTGAGGACCTCTCCTGCCGAGTCGGTCTGTCAGAGGGAGAGAGAAAGATATGCCGCCTGCAGCTCCCAAAGGGAAGTGAATCAGCAGGATGCTGGTTTCCTTCAAACTCTAATTATCATCTCTTTGCTTATGAGACTGTCTAATTCAAGGGCCACACTTAACCAAATCTGAACTCTGGAGTTCATGACGGGGCAAGAGAACAGACCAAACCTTTATTAGTTCACAGAACTCCAATTCTTTATTAATCACAGCTTGCTCACAATGACATACAGGAAAATAGCACTAATGAAGAGTAAATATGCAGGCAGCAACCTTCAGGAGTTGGGAGTTGGGGGAGAAACGACTTCAAAACTGCGATAGGTACTTACGGTGGGTATCTGGTGATTCTCTTAGTTGGCACAAATGCCCTGCCTAGCCCCCTGAACTGTGTCATCCCTCACAGATGGAGTAATTTTTTTTTTTAATAGGCAGGATTGCCTCACACTGGGGAAGAAAGACCAGCTTGAGTGAAAGTCCGCAGTGTTTTGATTTTGTTAGCGTGTATGTTTTAATGCACAACCAGCTCACAGTTTCCAAGTGGAAAAATATTCAGTAGCATCATGTACTTGTACTATAGGTAAGAGCTTAAAATGAACATCATCAATCATGGCATCCACAAATAAGCCACCCGACACATTAATTAATTCATTCCATCAAAAGAACTTAAACTAGAGAATTAAGCCCACTTCATGAAAAGCGATTTCACAGCTGCTTGAACCATTTGGATTTGGATCTGTGTTCAGCATTTTACAAGTTTCAACTTTTTGCTTCTACCCAGATTGATCTCAAATCTGTCTTCTCATCCATCCCTTTCTAAAGCCAGAGCACATTTGTGGCACATAATCCAGTAGAAGCAGAAGGAAATGCTAGGATTGGTGGTTTTTGTTAGCCTGGTTTTGTAGTTTTTAGGCAGTTAGTAGATTATGAGCGAACAAATGCTGAGGTTCGTGTGGAGTCAATACCTGTGATCTAGGTATGGTCTAAGTCAAGTTCAGAGATTACAAAGCCGTCCAGGTCATTAGGCAATGGTGGGTTTCTAGCACCATAGACTGTCTACTGACCTCATTTTTCTGCTGGAATGAAGGGCAGGGAATGGAGTTAGACATGGGGAGCTTCAAAAAGAACAGACCTAGCAAATTCATTTGAGTGGAAAGACACAACATCAAAAGCCTGTTACAGGACATGTAAGATTATGAAATAACTTGCATAATGCAATACTTGTATTTTTTAACAAAAATGTAAGTATTTACAAAATAAGATCCAAGGTATTTTTTAAACATCAAGCAAAACATTCTGCAAAGAGACCGCATTGATTTTTTTTTTAATTTTTGATTCTGTTTTTTTTTTGTTTTTTGTTTTTATAATGAGTTCTTTTTAAACCATGTCATACAATTCCCATACTGATATCGCATGATCCATTATAATATAGGCAGGGGGATTTACTAGTGGTGGGGCGTGCCATACCCTCCTGTCGCTTCAGCCAGACAGTTCAATCTGGAGCTCCTTGTTCCTGCGCACCTCTGCGGCATGCCTCTCCTAGGGAACACCAAAGGTGGAGAAATGTCACAAAGAAATGTCAATGTCCTCTGGTCCCAAGAGAGCCAGAAGCGCCTGCCCACTACTTGCATATCATGCATTTGGCTGGAAGTAACTCAGTGTGGTGTCTACCTTTAGGAATTTTTCTCATTTCACACAAAAGGAAAACATAGGACCATTAAATGTCAAGTTACAGCTCTTAACAAGATTTAGAGTGTCTTAAAAAATAAACACTATATTTGATTGAAAGAACACTTATGTTTAAAAGAATCTTGAATGACCACTGCTTAATCCAGAAAATAGCAAGAAAACATCCCATTATAATTTGTGCTATCATTTTTGTTTTTTATCCTTTTCCTCAATTTTTTATTTGCTGCTGGACACTGGGAGGATGAGATGCCGGAAGACTTTTTTTTCATGCTTCCTCAACTTTTAATTTATTACACAAGGTTTTTCCAAACTGGAGTCCAAACGACCTTCCCAGTTTTACCTTCCACCCTTGTCCTATATATACTTGATATGTCAGTTTAACAAACTCTTTTTTTTTTAAGGATTATATATTTATACAAGAACTGGGGTACAGTCAGAGGCACGGGAGGGTGAGAGAATTCATCAGAAGCAGAGCTGGGAGCAGAATTGGCAGACGGACCAAAGACACTGCTGACAGGAGCAGCAGGCGAGGCAGGGGAGGTCTGCCACGCCATGTGGGTTTCTCCCTGGCTGGCCGGGAATCGAACCTGCGCTGCAGAGGCTGCAGACAGCTTCACAGTGAGGTGCTCAACCTGCTACGCCACCGGGACGGTCCTTAACAAACTTTTTATGCAGTTTTCAGTGTGTGAGATTCCTAGTCTTCTGTTGCCACTTGGTCAGGATTGTAAACTTTGAACCCTCCAGCTTTTGTCTCTTTCTCCATGATGATTTTCATGAGACTACAAACAAAAAGTCATCTCAATTTTCATTTGAACACCTGCATAAGCCAATTCTTTTATGTGCAGTCATTTTATTCTAACTTGTACGATGGGCATTTCTATTCTCTTCTCACCTGCTATTTAAGTGGACACTCACACTTAAGGTCACTGAAGATCAGGACTTGCTTATTCTGTCCCATGTGCAGGGTATAGCAGAGTGTTTTGCACATAGTACGAGATTGGTGCATGTTTATTTACATGAAGCACTAAACTTTGTTTGGGAACTGAGCTTTCTGAAGGGAGAACTAAAGGAAGAGAGGTGGAACTAGTATTTTTTAGTACAGAGTTCTACATAGAATGACTATAAATATACTGTCTTGCATATCACAGATATGCTAAATAAGTGTTTGTTAAATTGAAATTTTAAAATGCCAATTACCATTAGTATTGTTTAGTTTTCCACGTAGAATATTATTTATACCACTATGTCCCCCCCTCCCCTCCGTAGCTCCAAAGTCAAATTTCTTGTGACTTTGTAGATTCCTTTAGTTTGGGGGTAATGGCCTTGACCAACTATATAGCAAATCTTATCATTATATTATTAATCTCAAGGAGCCTCTGCTTATAGGGTTGTTTATAAATCTGAATATTATGAGACACTTGATGTATAACAGATCTATAGAAATATAGATATTATCTGTATTAATTTTAGCTCCTCACAAAAATGCTATGGTAGACTGTTACTGTTCCCATTTTATAAAGGGTGAAACTGAAGCATAGAAAGCCCAAGATCACAAAAGTTAGAAGCAGCAGTCAGCGGGCCTCCCTGGTGGCACAAGGGTTTAAGATGCAGCACTATGAAGCAATCTGCAGCCAGTGCAGCACGCGTTCGATCCCTGGCCAGGGAGGTGACCCACGTGGCACAGCAGACCTTTCCTGACTCACCTGCTTCTCCCCTCAGCAGTGTACTTCGGTCAATCTGCCTGTTCTGTTCGCCACCCCCCACTCTGTCTCTGGTGGATCCTCTCACCCCCCACACCTCTGGCCTGTACCCCAGCTCTTGTATGCATAAATAAATAAACCTTTAAAAAAAACAAACAAACAAGTGGCAGTCAGGACTTAAACCCAGGGACCCTGGCCTGCAGCCTACCCTCCTGAAACCAATGCTATATGTTAGTGTGAGAAGGTTACAGAGAATGTTAGTTAGAAGATGTTACAGTGGTGTGGGAAAATGTGTCTTTTCAAATGTAGATTCTGGGGGAAAAAGGCACACACCACTCTACAATTCCTTCAAAGACACAGAATTGGAATAAACAGGAAGTAGTCTCTAGAGAAAGAGTATGAAAGCAATTTTATTTAATTGGTTTAAATGAGCTTTTGTGTATGTTCAAAAGCCATGAAGAGAAATGAAAAAAGGCATGTATAGAGAAATCATATCCGGTTTGGAAATGTCACAGGGAGATTAGCACAGATGCAGCTGATTTCCCTTTCTTCTATTTTGCTATTATAAGGAAAAAGATGCAGCAAAATCTTTTCACAGGCCGAAAAAACTAATTAGTGAGAGCTGAGCTCTGATGAAAATTGAGAAAAAACCTAGACTGTCACTTGCTAGAAAAAAACCAGAACCAAAGTCTAAAGATGCATATAAACTCAAATTTATAATATTATAGGAAACATTATAATTATTAGGCTATTTGGAATAAAACTTATCAAACTCAAAATTAGTTACAAAGAAATGGATTTTTCCATGAGAAAATATAATCTATAATTAAAAAAGGTAAATTAAAATAAATTCTGAGTTTCTAGGAAAAATATTTTTTTTCCATTTTATTTAAATTTTATTTTTTTATATTCCCCGTACAATTACAACCCCCTTATTTTGACCCCAAGCCCTCCTTTCCCCGCTCCCCCACCCCCATAGAGTGTCTCTGGTTTGTAGTTGTTTGTTGATTTTGATATTTTCTTTCTTATAGTTATTCTGGAAAAATATTATTTTTAAATATTTTAGTAAATCTACTATTTTGAAAATGTTATATTTAAGTCATCAAATGTATACTCATGAAATTGTATGTGAATTTGTACCATGATATGGGGGAGAGTTAAGGCAGAGTTGAAGGAAGTATGTAATTTTCAACATTAGTTTTTCTTGTCAGCTTATTGTCTGCAATTGTCAGAAAATCTTGAGTCCATTTGTGATACTCAGAAAAAGCTCATCATGAAGTCAAAGTTATTCTTCCAGAATAATGATTTCATTAGTGAGCTTCTAATATTTGCCAGGCACTGTCACCCGCACTGGGCTGGACAGACTGAAGCAGATCTCAATTTACAATGTTCTCTGCAATTTACTCTATTCTTCCCATCAATATGACAGAAGTGTATTTTTGACATTGTATGCAACTCTTAAAAAGTTCAGAAAATATTGTAAAGCTAGGGAAATTTTGTAAAAATTCTATACCTCAGTTATTTTGCAGAACTCTTTAGTTCTCATTCAATTAAAAAAAATAAAACGGAATTCAGTGTTAATGAGATACAGATGTGAATAATGCAAAAAAAAAAGGCCCAAATTAACTAATTTCACAAAAGGTCCTGGCTTACATCAAAAGATTGGCAACTAAATGTATATTTAAATGTTTGATGTTAAATGTATAAAATATATTATTGTTAAAGTGATTATACCTGCTTTAACTGATTTTTCAAAATTAACTACTCACTATTGTTTCTAGTTGAGTCTGGTAAGAAAACTACTGCTACTTGTCAGCTGCTACTTGGGGTTCCAAAAGGGACAGGTGGTATATTTTCTGCAGGATGCTGTTGAATGTGTTAGGGGAGGAAGGACATGTTGAGGGAGGAAGAAAGTGTCTCTTTATTCCTACTTGCATGGCAGGAATAGGTGTTTCTTTACCAGTGTCACAATCCACAAACTCAGGATAGATGATGGATCCTTGCGGATAGATGATGGATCCTTGCGGATAGATGATGTTCCCCCATCCTGAATGCATGCCTGATGGCGGGCACCTAGAGTAGAGTGTGGGCATAGGTAGATGGGATTCATCTGGGCTGATACTGCTTTTTAAGGGCGGCATCACGGGGACGCCAGCAGAAGCCGAGAGAGAAGCAAAAGCAGAGAGAAGGTCGGAGAGCTCAGAGTGAAGACCTGCTGGGGGCTGGGAGGCCTGCCAGCCTACTGGTCCCCCAGCACCCCGGCCTGCCGTGTACCTGGTAATCCCAATAAAAACCTGCAAAACCACTAAGGACTCTGACTCCTCCTTTACCCAGTCTGCTGGATCATAGAAAACCTGCACTGTGTCCTTCCTGTCCTCACAGATTGCTTTTTGCCTTGTTTTTAGTTCTAGCTAAGCTTTTTTTTTTTTTAAATAAGATTTATTTATTTATTTATTTATTTATTTATTTATTTATTTATTTATTTATTTATACAAGCACCGGGTACAGTCAGAAGCGCGGGAGGGTGAGAGAATTCACCAGAGCGGGGAGCAGAGCAGGCAGAAGGACCGAAGTACACTGCTGAGGGGAGCAGCAGGCGGCAGGAGAGGTCTGTGCGCCATGTGGGACCCTCCTCCGGTGGCCGGGGAGAAGCCGGGGATCGAGCCGGTGGTGCAGAGGCTGTGGGCAGCTTCGCAACCCAGTGCTCAAGTGCTGCGCCACCGGGGAGGCCCCTAGCTAAGCTTTTAAGCTAATATTGTTGGAGCTCAGAGTTTTTCTGGAGATTTATCAGTGAATGACATCAAAGATAGCATCATGGACACTCTGTGAGGATATGTCTCTTCAAAAACTCAGTTCTCTCATTGGAGAGGAGAGGGAGGAAGGACTAGGTGGTAGGTAGATTGCTATAAAAGCATGTGGAATTGTATCACATCTCTTGGTTAATTGGTAAGTCCACTGAAGGCACTTAGTGGTGTGTTTTTTCATGTGGATTTATTTTTACTTATATTCTTCAGTGTTTTCATATTTACTATCCATATTGGCCCAAATGACATATTGTCATACTAAGTTTTGTGGCTGTGTTATTTACTGCTGGATTTTCTACGATCTGCATTGGAGGATATTGGAAAGACATATTTGGATAGAGGGGAAAAGAAATGGTTGGCTAATGCATAACAACATTTTCCCAGGTTTTTAAACATATAGTAGGGACTCAATAAATACTCACTGAGTGATTAACTCACTAATAGTCATTTCAGGTTGTAATTGCCTTTTGATGTGGCAGATCCTAGAACATCTTATGTTATATTGGCAATTTTATACATTTCAGTATTACTATCATTATTGATCTTATCCTCTTTTAAATTTCTAATTTCATTCAAACAAAGAGTTAGATATTGGTCATAGTAAAAAAAAAATCCTTTGTCTTATTTTAGGAAAAAGCAAAGTAGTTTTAGTACATACAACACATATACATGTAAACATATATACATGTAAAATTTTATGCTGTATCTGTGACATATTTAAAATTCATCAAATGGAAATAAATTTGCTATTTCTTAATGATTATTTCCACTTTATTGAAAAGACAATAGATTTGGGCTGGCACTGACCAAAGATCCTATTAGATTTGAAAAGCTTTGGAACACCAGGGGCAATGCACTAAAAATTTTCTGGTCTGCATCATTCAGTATGGCATAACATACTATCAGCAAAGGTTTAAATTAGAATAAGCTATGAACCAGTAGGTCTTCAGTCTGGCTACATACTAGAATCATATGGAGAGTTCTGAAAAATTTGGATGCCTAGGTTCCAGCCCTAGAAATTCTGCAGCTCTATGTCAAGCACTTAAACACTCCATAATTTGATTACTTCCAAGACAAATTATATGCATTATGCAGGTACATGTGTATGGGAGGAAGGGAGTAGATCTGCGTGAAAGTGAGAGCCTCCCTGGTGGCACAAGGGGTTAAGCAGAGCACTGTGGAGCTGTCCACGGCCTCTGCGGCATGGGTTTGATCCCCTGCCAGGGAGCTACCCATATGGCACAGCAGACCTCTCCTGTCTCGCCCTTTGCTCCCCTCAGCAGTGTGTTTCGGTTGGTCTGCCTGTTCTGTTCCCCACTCTGTCTCTGGTGAATCCCCTCACCCTCACCCTACTTCTGGCCTGTACCCCAGCTCTTGTATGCATAAATAAATAAATCTTAAAAGATCTGAGTGAAAGTGAGGAAGAGTGCAAAAAGGAGCTGGAAAGGGGATGGATGAGATAAAAACATGCTGAAAAATAAAGTGCCTATGAAAATCCAACACTTTTGTAATACTAGTTTAAATATGCAAATTTTATGAACTATTTTGTAATTGAAATCAAGAGGAAGGGGCTGTATGTCAGTGTATGTGAAATTTCAAAAACAGTAATCTCAAAAATCTTCCGGATTGCCAGTGATGTAAGTCTTGCACTGGATACTAAAGATCTGATTGAGACTCCTGGGATAAAATCAACATGATTCTCATTCCTATCAGCTCCACTTGATTTTTTTCAGGATCTAGGATGTGAGATGAGGTCAAATCACAATTATCTGGAATAAAACACAAGGCATTTCTCTGCTGTCCCTGGTACCAGTTTCCTGTCAGCAGGAATCTCCTTCATTGTGTACAAAAGTTAGAGGGCAAATGGAGGAAGACTGGCTAGTTCATGATCAGGGAAGCAAATTTTAATACAAGGAACTTTGCTGTCCTGCATCTCAGCAAAACAGTTGCTTTGGTACAGCCATTTACAACCGGCTGAGGGCTGAATTCTATTGCTTTTCACCAAATCCTGACCTGCCAATATTAGGTAAAATGCAATGACAGGTCTGGGTATGGAAGCATTCAATTACATCAATACACTCAATCTCAACTGTAAGGTTTTGACCAAGGCATCCAGTGGTTATTTTGGCTCCTACACAGGTTACCACCTCTGAGAGCATCAATGATAACTGCTTGGGTCAGAGCCCACACACCCTTCCCCAACAATGCTCTCATAAATTCCCTGAGAGCACAGATGCTCATGAAAATCTCCATGAAATTATACGCACCTATGGGAGTAAATGGGAGTGAAAACAAAAAATCACCAGAACTTCATGACAGGACTCTCTGATCCTTAGAAGAAATGGGGCAATTTTAATAGAAAACATGAAGCTTCCTAAGAAATACTCACCAAACAGGGGGCTGATCTTGTCTAAACTCCCAGTGCTGTGGTGACAGGGATGGGTCTATTTCTCTCTGTATTTCTTACTGTATCTCTGAACATGTAACTCAGTACTGGTGTGGAGGGTGACTGCTCAGGAAAGGACTGAGGCATTGTTTCTCAAACTTCCCACCTCTTAAGCTCATTCTGATTTCTGGAGATGGACAAAGCTAGACTACTCTTAGCTATACTATGCATTTTCAAAGGAAAAACATTTTTTTTTGGTAATAGTCATGTTGATGATGGTGCATAGATAACATAAAACCCTATAAGAGGGAAAGAGAAGACATTTTTTCCCTGAGGATCTCCAGCACTGCTCTTCCTGACTGATAGGAATGAGTATATGTTTAGGCTGGGGAGAAGAAATGTCAGAAGAATGAGAATGTCAGAAGTTAAGGAAATGAACATCATCTACTACTTTCCAAGTGGTGTTATTCTACCCTAGTTCTTTATGTAGATTCTCCCACAGGGAGAGAATGGGCTTCTCACTGCTCGTAAATGTTTTGTCCTTTTTTGACAAATAGGCTTTGCTAACTTAATACTCATATAGTCAATATTACATAGTAATTATGTATAAAATGAAATATATTATTTATTATGTCTGTGTGAAAAACATATCTACCTTAAAATCACCCAAACACAAACCTAGTGCAAAAATGGTCTACTGATTTGAGAGAGTGTTCTTTTCAAGTGAATCGTGCTTCTAGTCTTAGGCACTGCTGACAATTCTGCACTCATCTGCACAGCTTAGGGTTTTCGATAGAATGTGGTTTGTTGGGAAATGTGGTTAACTGAATTTTCCAGCTTATCGTTTTTTTCAACAGAATGGTTCATAACATATGTATAGAAGTCTTTTAAACATCTGAGAAGCACTTAGCAGCCTACTTGCATCCATTCACCATGGAAATATTAACAAAATTGCTGCTTTAATTTGGATCTTTACAGCTTTAATTTGTTGCAGCCCCCCTAAGGCAGCACTCTACTGGGAGACCCCACCCTTGGGGCTAGCTGTCATCTGCACCTGCAGCAAATTTTGACTAGGCCTCTGGTGCCTGAGCATTTGAAAGTCCCCTCCAGGCTGTGTTGCATATGAATGTACACATCTGCTCAGGACTCTGTTGTGATTACCTTTTCCTGCAGACGTTCAATAATAGCAGCTAGATTAGCCTCACGGTTTTCCTTAATTTGTTCCATTTTCAGGATCAGCTTTTCCTCCGCCATTTTGCTGAAGTTGTTGTTCTCCTCCAAAGCCTTCTGAAGAACTTCTCGCTCATGTTCCCTCTTCTCTGCCAATTGTTTCAGCACCTGGGCCTCCTGAGACTGAGGAAGAAAAATATATCCCTCTTATAATCACCCAAACACAAGCTTGGTGCAATAATGGTCCACTCATTTGAGAGTGTTTTTTTCCCCCCAAATGAATCATACTTCTAATCTTGAGCACTGCTGACAATTCTGCACTCACCTGCTTGGCTTGGTGTTTTCTGTAGAATGTGGTTAGTTTGGAAATGTAGTTAGCTGAATTTTTAGCTGTGAATGTCTTGGACAGACTGTTATGGAAGAAGCATTTAACCCTTGCCAAAGAGTTTTGGTTTTCTTTTTTAAATAAGTTGTTAAACATTTATGCAACAGGGAATGCCGTCATTAATCATTGGATAACATCATTCATTGAATTCTGAGGAAAACAGGTGAGGATTAGGGCAAGTTCCTGTCTTTTTCCTGCTGTATTGTTTTTTGTTTTTGTTTTTGTTTTTTTTTTTTGATTAGCTGTAAGCTGGATCCTACAGTGAACTTTTCTACTTTCACAAATTAAATCACCAAATTCACTTTTTTCATTTATTCTATGTCCATTCCAACTTCTTTTTTATTAGCAAATTCTCTTTGAGAACTTGTGAACAATGCAAGCTTAATGCTTACCTAATGGTCACAGACAGCAGAAAATACTTGTTGTGGGCCCCTTTTTACATGCTGTAGTCACTTGGGTAACCTTTGAAACCCTGTAGTTGCCCAAGTAGATTAGACCAGAACCTCCAGAGCAGGTTGTACCACACCTCCATTTTTCTCCCACATTTTATACGCTCTAACTTTCCTGTAGCAGCAGGAGGCTGGCTGGTTCTGTGAAATGTATGTTGGCAGATGCTATGGTGATTATGAGAAAATACAGGTGCCTGGTATCCACCACTAAATAGTCTGACTCTGTGGTTGTGTTTGGCAAGACCCAGGAATCTATATTTTCAATAAGCAATCATAGTGATTTTGATGCAGACTATTGACAGAATACCTTTTGAAAATTCAGACTGGCGTGAGCCTTGGTATTGGGACTAATCTTGAGTCTTAACTGTGCTGGTGAACCTGGATGTATGATTGAACCTCTTTCCACATTCATTTTCTCCTCTACTATCAGCCAAGGAACCCTTCACACCAAGCTACTAGGTTTAAGACTAAATTGTGACACATTTACTTTTCCTTAGGGTTTGCTCATGCACTGAGAACTTTCAAAGGGGGAATTGTAAATGTAAACATTTAAATAATGGTAGATCAGAAACATATTCCATGTCCTATTAAGTACTGATTACCAATAAAAGCATTAATAGGAAAACACATTAGTTAATGGTAGTGGTCATGGGGCCTCACTGGAGGGATTTTGCTGTATAAATGGTGTCTGATAGGTGAAGAAACTTCTCTTCAGATAAAAATTCTACAGGAATGATAAGATCAGACAAACTTAAGAGTCTTTCTTGATATACTTTTTTCCTCAAATTGATCAGAAAGAGGTCTAGTGACTCATTTGAAATAAGGCAAAAAATTCTAGGAACCTACCCTACTTCTTATTTTAATCCCATAATAGTTTAATTGACATCCTTAGTAGCACTACAGATTCTTGCTTTGTAATAACTTGCAATGAACATAAAACAATGAAAAAGTGTTATTAAACAAAATAAGTTGAAAACTAAATAGTGCCTTTCTGGGAAAAACAAAAAAAAAAAAAAAAAAAAAGAATTAAAATATTTTTAGGTGGTTCATCCTCCTGCCTCTAGGTGGAACTATTGTAAAGCATCCTTCATTGATTTTGCTTATTTACAGCTACCTAGACCCATAAATTGTTACAGAGAAAGAGACTGCCTGAAGTTATGGGCAAGTGTATTTAAAGTTTCTTTTTTAGAAAAGTCTTCATAAAATTACCATATTTTTGACATATAAAGATAGTACCGATCCCATAGGACAGTTTCTCAGGATCAAATGCTAAGATGTAAGTAAGGTATTCAGCACAATGTCTACTATCAAGTGAGTGAGTACTGAGCAAATGGTAGCCATTATTCTTAAAGTAAAACTCAAACACTGGTGACTAGGACATGTTGAACCTCCTAGTGCAGTTAAACTCAATGTTAAATTTTGGTCATCTCCTGTGTGCATGATATGTATCCAAATTCCTTTGATTATGGACAGTTTGTAGATTCAGAGGTCCGCATGGGTGATGACAGTCAGTCCTTTCCTAACTCTCTCACCTGTACCCATGCACACCCACTGAGTATCGATAGGGAATTTCACAAGAAAGTGAACACCACGAAGAGTTAAGAGGAAACAATTATCCTTCATTTCACAAAACTAAATTCAATCTATGTAATTCTTAATTCAGAAAACTTTCCAGAGGGAGGGAAGGCTGCAACGTGTGGGTAGGAATGTTTGAGGCAGACTAAGTAATTCCATCTTGTGTTGAGATTCTATTTTACTGAACTTTTTTTTTTTTTAAAGATTTATTTATTTATGCATACAAGAGCTGGGGCGCAGTCCAGAGATGCAGGGGGTGAGAGAACCCACCAGAGACAGAGTGGGGAACAGAACAGGCAGATTGAATGAAATACATTGCTGAGGGGAGCAGCAGAAGAGACAGGATAGGTCTGCCTTGCCATGTGGGTTTCTCCCTGGCTGGCTGGGGATCGAACTCATGCTGCAGAGGCTGTGGATTGCTTCATAGGGCAGTGCTCAACCCCTTGTGCCACCAGGGAGGCTCTTTACTGAACTTTTAACTTAAAAGAGCTATTTACTGACTAGGAAGAAATGGTTTCTAGTTAAATATGGTCTTCACCAAGAATATCTCCAAGAAAGATACCTATTTTTTTCTTTTTCTTCTCTCCCTGTAGTAACCAAGGGTAGCCTGACTAAAAGCTAGTGAATTCTAAGGAATATAGCCTATAACCATTTCTAGTTCTTCATCAGTAGCTTCTACAATCCTATGGCTTCCCCCCTTTTCTGTCCTTTAAAATCCCTTAAGCAAAGATCCTGGAGAGACACAATTTGGGTTAGTTTTCCTCAATTTGCAAATCTAAGACCACCCCTCCAAATAAATACCATTATTTTATTTTAACCTTATGTTTTTCTCAGTCTACAAATCTGTGCAACTGTTAGGGATTAGATTGGAGCCTTAGGGTTCTCTTATAATAGAAATCTTCAGGAAACAAAAAGAAGCTGAAAAAATAAAAGTAAATCAAAACAAAACTTTTCAAAATTCTCTACAGTCGTGCTTTTAGATTGTTTTCTTCAGGGCAAAACATGTTCATTAGCCATAGCTACTAAAGGCAGGGAGAAATGTGAAATTTCTGTTTAGTGTGTTAGCAGATCCCCTCCCCTTCTCCCATAGACTAGTACTTTCGATGCTGTCCTAGATAAGACCCACCTGGATTTTTCATGGCCCTTGTTTTGAGCAGGCTTTCTATAGACATTCCTGTGGTGCACTGAAAAGAACCCCAGCCTGGTATTCAGAAATCCTGAGCTACAGTCCTGCTTTGCTGAGTACAGGCAGGCCACCCTGCCTGCACCCTGCCTCTTAAGGTGGTATCCGCGGCCAGTGGCCAGGGGCCTACTGCTCTTCCATGACAGCTCACTGACAGCATTGCCATGGATAGTTAACAAGAAGCAGTGGCATCATTTTAAATTTTCAGATGCTCAAAGTAACTTTGGCTCTTTGTTAAATTGTGTTTTAACTGAAAATTTATGTTTGCACTCTTAATTTTCCTTGGTCAAAAAGCCAGCATCAAAAGAAGACAGCAGGGAAATAGGATTGAGAAGGAAAGGCCTTGGAATTCAAAAGGCAATCTAGCAGCACATATTTATTCAAGTTTCTTGCCTGGGCGGGACACATTAAGTCTGTGTGAATCCACACTCCCGCAGGTCCCAAGATGAGTAATGCAGAGAGTCCCGCTGCACTTACTGGAGTGCAGTGTTTGGCTCAGTTTGAAATGCCTCAATTAATGGCGTTAGTACTTTTGCAGCCTTTGGGGCTAAATGAGATTACCCAGCACAGGTGTCAAGTGCATTTCTTTAATACAATTAATGTGGTAAAACAGAAACAGAAGGCAGTACAGAATGTTCTCAAGTGCAGCCGCTGCTAAATGATGTTCTGCCAAACAGGGCCAGGCCACACTTGAGGGCTGCTCGCTACTGTGGTGATTTTTCTTATGTGCTAGAAGCATGTTATTATCACCACTGCTTCAATTATGAATTTTTGGACCAAATGATTATCTATGTTTCAAATGTTTAAAGCTCAAGCCCATGGGAAAAAAAATACAAGATGTGAAGTTAGTTATGGAAAGAACTTTTCTCTGAGGAACTACTTCTGGGTCCCAATTTTGTCCCTACTCGTAAGTACCCCAATTATTGTGTGGCACTAATAGTCCTCGGGGATTTTATCTTGGCTGCTAAGTTCACTGCAACTTTATTCCTGCAGAAAAGTCATACCCTAGCACCCCGTTATCACAGCTTAGAACTTCTCTAACATTATTCTTGGGGACAAGTTGATTCTCTTATGAAGACAGCTTAATCTCCCAGTCATAGCCTGAAGGGAGAAAGCGAATTCTGATTCTGTTATTTCTATCAACAAGTAAATAAGCAGTCAATCCTGAGAACTAGAGTAAAACATGACATGAAGTGTGAGGATTTAGACTAATAAAACACATGATATGCAAAAGAGAGACATCTTTTTTCATTTTGGTAAAGTTCTCACCCCATCACTGAATAGATGTTCTTACTGTGATTAGCATCTTGAATGTGTTGGCTGATATAAGGAGCTTGGAGAGGTGGAATTTGCTGAATGTAGTTAAAAATAAATTGTTCAGAGGATATGGACCTGACCATGGAGGGACATTTCTGAATTTTATGTACCTAACACAGAAGTCACTAAGATATAGAGATGGAAACTTAGGGCATAAGCGTGATCTGCTGGTATAATGCAAATGCCAAGGCCAAGTATTTATAGAATTGAAACATCCAACAGGACTTTCTGGGAGACTAAGAAACCCCTCCATTTATTATAGTAGGCACCTTCT